GGGTCGAAGCGCGGCTCCAACGCGAGCAAGTTGGCAGCAGCTGCCGGGGCAGTGACAAGGGAGCGGCCGAGCCGCTCCAGCCAGGGGCGAAGCTCTGTGAGCGAGGCGGGCGGGCGGCTCGGGGCCATGGCCAGGGCGGGCATGGAGCGGTGGCGCGACCGGCTGGCACTGGTGACGGGAGCCTCGGGGGGCATCGGGGCAGCCGTGGCCCGGGCCTTGGTCCAGCAGGGGCTGAAGGTGGTGGGTTGTGCCCGCACCGTGGGCAGCATCGAGGTAAGGCCTCTCGGGGAGCGAGGACGCCCTGGGGACGTCGTTTCCGGGGGCACGGGTCAGCGTGGGGGGAGGGGAGTGGCGGGAGCCAGGCCAAGACCCTCAAGTCACTTACCTGTCACCCGGGCCATTTGTCACATGTTTAGAGGCTAGAAGGGTGAATGCCTAGCAGGGGCGGCCTCTCGGATGCCTCAGGACAGGTTCCCACCTTCGCTTTAGTTCTCCTCTTTTAAGGGGTCATTTTCCCCTGACAGCCCCAGCTCCCAGCGCACCAAATCTCTAGCCCTGGGACTCTCCTCCACCCCCGCTCTCCTGGTCGCCCTTCCCAAACTCTGGACTGAGGACAGGGGAAGTCAGAGATGAGGGACTAGCCAGGCAGCCAGGGAGAAGGAGAGCTTTCTATCCTCAGCGGCTAGGTTGGCTTCCTGTGGTCGCCAGACCTCACCCACCACGCCAGAGTGCTGGCCAACCAGAGGTGCAGGAGCTTGAGGTTTTGAATGTTTGACCCAGACTGAGGGTGAGGTTGGAGTGGGAGCTTTTCTGAAGAACCCCTTTCCCCAGTCTGAGGGTTAATCTATCCCCAGTGGCCATGAGAGGTGAATGGAGTGATTTACTGGTAGACTTTTCTCTAATTCATTTTCCTAACTGGGAATGAGTAGGTGAAACAGGGCCTTGAATATGTAAATCCTGAGGGGACAGAGCAGTGTGGGTCCAGAGCTTCTAGTTTTTCTCTTAACATGGAGTTGGAAACTCCCAGAGTTATGAGCAGCAAGAGATCAGAGAAAAAGGAAATAAAGTCGACTGTTTGGGGGCAGGGAGGAAGGAGAGGAGAGAAATTCCCATTGTAGGTTGATCTGGGAGTTGCTATTGCAAGACCACTCTCAGGGCCCCAGACTAGCGCTCAGTTGCAGGGCTGACCTTCCACCATCTCCCAAAGTCCCCAGGTAGAGAAAGGGCGGGGAGGCCTTGGGTGGGGGCAGAGGGAGAGGTGCACAGGAAGGACTGTCCCCTCCCTTGCTGCTGACCAAAGGTACACTTTATAACCTCCCAGATAATCCCAAGGTCATCTGGCTCGACCATTGCCCCACTCTGCCCCTCCCTTTCTGCACCGAGAAGCTCAGGGCCCAGCCCCGGCCTTGGAGCCTAGAGGATCAGGTCAGGGGTTAGACAACTGGATTGCCTAACTCTTGCCTTCTCTTCTATTCCCCTCCCCCAAGCCATCTAGGAAAGGGGATACCTGAGTCTCAAGGGGATCCCCAGGCAGATCACCCAGCCCCAAGAAGACTCCTTGTCAGGAAGGGAGACTGTCTGTGTTATGGGGGGCTTGCCCTGACTTCAGGTCATTTTTAAGGGTAGGTGGGGCAGATGGTCCAGTGGTCCAGGTGGGGCAATGAGAAGGCAGTGACAGAGAGGAATAAATTTTCAGTCTCTCCTTTCTGACTTTCCGAAGGAGGGCTCTGAGTTTGCAGGAGGAAGGGAAGTTACATGCTAGAGGAGGGGAGAATTCAGGCTTCCTGGCTTCATGGATTGGTTCATTCATTGATCTTACAGGAGAGTTTGGGTTCTGGCCTTCTACAGAGAGAACCCTTGTTTTCCTGCGGTGGTCATGGGTAATGAAATCGGGTAAAGATGGGCTTCTGAGGCCCAGAGTAGTATACCTTTTGAGCTCACAGAACGTTAAAGCAGAAAAGAATGTCTTCAGTCACCTGATGCAGCCCTTTATTCCCAGCATGGTTTGGGAGGAGGAAGGGGCTCCAAGCCAGGGCAGCTGGCCAAACTGGCCTTCCTCTAGGGCATCCTGCCCCCGCCCCCCCGCCCCAGTGTACACAGTCACCTTCACAAGGCTCAAGCGCCTGCCCGGTCATTGGCCTCCAAGGCCATGCAGCCTGTTTTTTCCTGCTCCTAAATGTCAGCTGCCCTCACAGTCATTTCAGTGGCCCTGCTTTTTGGTGATCTTTCCCAGGAGAGGCACAGAAGGCACCCAGTGTCATCTCCCACCTGCCTTGTCCCATAGTCTCCAAGGGAATCTTGGGGTGGAGGGTGGTATGCCAGAGGTTAGAGAAAGATCAAATCTGTCCCGAGGTCCGCACTTCTAGAGAGGGAGGGGGGATTGGCAGGTGGGCACTGATGAAAGGTGTGAGAACGAGCCTTTGAGTTCTGCCAAACTGACCACAGTTTGGAGGGGAGGGCGATGGTTCCGAGATGAGCCCTTCTGGGAAGGGCTGGTTGACACCAGGGGGAGAGGGAAGGAAGGTCTTGGAGCAGCCAGCTCAGAGAGCGCTGGCACTGGTAGAGGAAGCACGAGGTGGGGTGAGGGGTGCTCTTCTTACTTGCAAGCACAGATGTTCTTGGTGGGGAAGAGGCAGAAAAGAGATCCCTGCCAGGAACATTGCCAGGATCCCTGCCCACGTCCCTCCGTAGAACAGGAGACTTGCATCTATACATGAGCTTCCTCCATTGGTCTGTCCCCCTACTCGAGAGTGCCCTTAACCCTGGACTTTGACCAAAGAGGACAAGCTTTGGGGATAGGCAGTCCCACCATCTCTGTGGCCAAAAGGCAGCTCTCATAGGAGAAAGTTCTGTGAGGGGTGACAGGGGAGGGAGGTGCGGGTGGGAGGTGTGGGAATGAGCAGCTCACCCCAGTGAGACCCCTGTTGGGTTTCATAGGAGCTGGCTGCTGAATGTAAGAGTGCAGGCTACCCCGGGACTTTGATCCCCTACAGATGTGACCTATCGAATGAGGAGGACATCCTCTCCATGTTCTCTGCTGTCCGCTCTCAGCACAGTGGTGTGGACATATGTATCAACAATGCTGGATTGGCCCGGCCTGACACCCTGCTGTCAGGCAGCACCAGTGGCTGGAAGGACATGTTCAACGTAAGGGCTCCAGGGCCTGGGGCAGCGGGGGGAGGCCCGGGAGGAGAGCAGAGCCTGGTCTGTGAACTGGAGGCTGTGGGGACAGTATATCCAGTAAAACCTTTGGCTTCCTGCTCGGGGGATCCTCACTCTCCCTTCGTTCTTCCCCTACCAGCAGGGTAGTAAGTGGGTGCATGGCCATACATTCTCAGCTCTCCCTTTTCTTTGAGCCCCTGGGTATGGTTCTTCAAGTCTAGACTGATTCTCCCATATCGGAAGAACTTCAAGTCTAGACTGATTCTCCCGTATCGGAAGAAAGATTGGCAGGGGAGAGAACTGCTGTTTATTGAGTGTCCCTGTGGGTCAGCACTGTGTGGTATGCTTGGGAACATGCTCTTACTCGATGAAAAGGAACAGAGGGAAGAGATAATATCCTTACCCAATCCTGCTAGTAACTATCTTCAAGCAGGTTAGTTACTGTCTCTGAGCTTCCGTCTTGTCACATTTAATTGGGATGAACACCCTGTGACTTCAATATCTGGGGTCACAAACTCCATTGTTCCCTGGTAGTACATAAAGGTAGTACATAAAAGAGTGAATTAGGTCAGGTGTGGTCTACAGTACATGGGAAAAGTGTGTCCGCTGCTTAAATCCAACAGAAGTGCTCTCTGTCAGTGTGGCTGATCTTGAAGTTTCTTTGAGAGAAGGGGAGAGCCTGTATTTTTATGGGACACTCCACCTGTCCCTTTCACTAAAACATCAGCTCCACAGTGCAAGGACTTTTGTCTGTTTTATTTTCTGGGACAGCTCTACCCTTAAGCCCTCAGCAGATATTTGCTGAATGAATGAGTACATGCTGGGAAGGTATTTATCAAGGTGCTAGGGATTGAACCCAAGATTCAAGTGCTCTACCACTGGGCTATTTCCCGAACCCTTTAATGATATTTTAAAGCCAGTACACACACAAAACGCAGCCTTCAGGAATGGGAGTTCAGCTGCTGGGCTGCTTGTGGGGGCAGCATTAGGGGATGAAAGTATTCTGAAAAGCTGAAAGCAACGTCCAAACAGGAGGCTTCTTTCCCCTCATAGTCCTTTCACACCTGCTGTAGATTGTGTATCTAACAGGTGCTTGGGCCTGGAAATGAAGCAGGGGACAATGGAAATAAAGGTGCTGTCCTCAGAGAGCCTTCTGAGGGATCACAGTCATGGCTCTTACCTGCTGCAGTAGGTCTCTAAACTTGGGCCTCAACTTGCCCATCTGTAAAATGAGGGACTTATATCCCTAACCACCACCACCCCGCCACCACACCTGCAGCATGAACACTGTCTAAGGATCATTCTAGGAGGTATCTCTCCCCGGTCCTGGCGCCTAGATGTAGGTAATTTCCTCACAGGCTCCCAGGAATCCATTCCTCCTCCTCCATCTGCTCCACGTACCCACCTGCTGAGAGGACAAGAAACAGGGCTGAGACCCTCCCGTGGCCCAGGACCCATCATCCTGCTGTCCCCATGGGAACCAAGCAGGTTCACACTGAAGGTTCTCTATCCTGATGCCCGGTTGACACCCGGTAAAGAGAACCAGCTAGTATCTGCCAGCAGGTCTCTCTGTTCCCAAGAGCCCAAGGATCTACTGAAAGGTTTATCTCAGCTTATCCTGCCAGCCTGCGGTTGAAGGGTGGGGCTGGGCAGGTGGTTCATAGCAGATACTGCTTCCGGCCTCTGTCGCATGAAAGATGGGGACTTGGGGTTACCTCTGCCAGAGCGAGTGGGAGTGGCAAGTGACCCCACCTGCAGGTGGGACACAGGCCTGAGGCAGGTATAAAAGGCAGGAGGGCGAGCCATCCTCTTCCTCCTCACCTGCAGGGAGGGGACAGGAACAGAGTGGCAGGCTGAGCAAAGTGGGGAGAGGCTGGGATCTGTGCTTGAGATTCTTTTTTCTTGTTTTTCTTTCTTTTGGTCTTTTTGAGACAGGGTCTCACTATGCAGTTCAGGCTCACCTTGAGCTCACTTTGTAGCCCAGGCTGGCCTCAAACTCGCAACAATCCTCCTGCCTCAGCCTCTCGAGTGCTGGGATTACAGGCATGCGCCACCCCGCCCGGCTTGAGGAGATTCTTAAGCACTGGAGGACCGTCTTCAGTCGGCTTGGGAGGGAGTAGGTATAGGGACACTGTCACAGAGAAGGGTAAGCTATTTTGGGAAAAGGAGACAATTCCCTAAAGCAGAGGCTAAGCCAGAGTCTCCTAGGTCCAGGTGGGTTTGGAGGGGTTTTGTTTTCTACTCGAGGAGTCAGCCAGGAGAGGAGCTGTCTGCTGTCAGCTGGAAACGGCACCTACATGCAGGGTCTCTGGGAGGACCTGGGAACTGTCTGGAATGTTACGCCACCCTCTCATGGAGCTCAGCAGCTCCATCAGCTGGTCAGCTGGGCCCAAACTGGAAACACCCCATTGCCTTCCCTGGCTCGCAGGTAAATGTGCTGGCGCTCAGCATCTGCACCCGGGAAGCCTACCAGTCCATGAAGGAGCGCAATGTGGATGACGGGCACATCATTAACATCAACAGGTGAGGGTGAGTGGCCGGTGGTGCAGCTCAGCTCACCGCTTGGCCTCCATATTAGGTAATCTGCTGTAGCACATGTGGGCTGTATGGGCACCAGTTTCTTTGCTAGTAAAATAGGGATTTCATTCCCATTTAATACTCAAATGGCCTGATTGTGGTGAGGGAACAATTACGTTGTCAAGGGCCAGCTCCTGGTTGCTGGGATGGGGGCAGCGCAGCCCCCTCTGTCTGCAGTCAAAGCCTGGGATGCTCCTGGGACTGAGCATCTCCATTCTCTAGGCCCTGGGGTGGAGCCCTCCTGGTGGCACAAAGAGACTGCACAGATTCTGCCTAGGGGGAACCCCAATCAGGGGGGGACAAGGCTCCTACCTGTCTGAATCAGTGAGCACACAGATAAAGTGGCAAGACTTCTGACAGCCGAAATGACCAGGAAAGCGGGTTCCGTGGTCAGCAAAGGGCGTCAAGGCAGAGGAGTGTTCCAAGAGCTGCTGGGCTGTCAGGCTAGGTTCTGGGGGCTGGGGGCTGGCCACCACAGTTCCCCTTTAGGAGGCCTCTAGGTAGCGAGGTGGGCCAGCATGGCAGGGGCACTGCCAGTTTCCGCAGAGCTTCACTCTCTCCTCTTCCTCCTCTCCTCCTTCCACGCAGCATGTGTGGCCACCGAATCCTACAGGACAGTGTGATGCATTTCTATACCGCAACCAAGTATGCCGTCACCGCACTGACGGAGGGACTGAGGCACGAGCTGCGGGAGGCCCAGTCCCACATTCGAGCCACGGTGAGGCTGTGGCCTAACCCTGGTGGGAACAAGGCGGGCACAGGCCCTCTCACCTCCATGTGCTCCCCAGGAAGCCCTGTCCAGGGTGGGCTGCTTAGAGCCCCTGCGAGTGGACTGGGTACAGAACTCCTGGGCTCTGCTGTCCCATACTCAGTCCTTGAGGATCCTCATTTCACTCATCCAGAAGCCAGTGACTGGACTTAGAGGGGGAGAAGGCTGACTTCAAGAGAATAAGACTAAGGGAAAGCAAAGGGTTGTGGGAAGCTAGGAATACAGGGCTGGACAGCAGGATTCTGGGCTCTTCCCTTGAGGGCTGGATGACCTTGGACAAATCACTGAACCTCTGCAAGGCTTAGCCTTCTCATTTGCAAAATGGAACCTGATTAGGAGGCTTTAAGGAACACAATTTGTAGAGCACTTACCTGGTGGTGTAGATAGCTGGGAACATGGTGACCGCTGCCATTGACAGCTTTGGAAGGAGGGATCCGTGTCTGGACATTGGACAGCCATCACTGGGCAGCTGGGCCCTGTGGCCTCCATTTTCTCTCCCCGACCTCCCCAAGGCCTGGCAAAACTCTGCCCCTGAATAGGCCCTCTCTGTTGGCCCAGTGCATCTCTCCAGGCTTGGTGGAGACACAGTTCGCCTTCAAACTCCATGACAAGGACCCTGAGAGAGCAGCTGCCACCTATGAACGCATCAAGGTGGGGCCCAGTAAAGCTACTTGGTCACTACATAAAGGCAGGAGGAGCCCCGGCCTTTGGACACCACCCTTCTGGCCAGTTTGTGTCCCGTCCTGGAGGGCTGGGGTGGGGATGTGGATGCTGCGGAGGACCTCAGTGGTGGGAAGGAACTTGGGTCCGTCCTATCCTTGTCTCTCAACTCTTTACCTTGGTGCTCATAGTGTCTCAAACCTGAGGATGTGGCTGAGGCAGTCATCTACGTCCTCAGCTGTCCCCCACATGTCCAGGTGAGTCTGGCCTTGACTGCCCACCCCCTGGAAAAGTCCAGCCGTCCCAAAAGGAGGGGAGTCGGGAGGGCTTAAGGGGGAGGGAGTACCTGGCTGCCTCAAGCTTTATGCCTTCTACAGATTGGAGATATCCAGATGAGGCCCACGGAGCAGGTGACCTAGTGTCCAGTGGGGAGCTCCTTCTCCCTCTCCCTCGTGGCTTGGCTCCTGCCTGTGGATTTTAGGTGTTGATTTCCAGACCCCTGGACCACACTTTCTCCCACCGAGGGCTAGAAAATTTGTATGAGGTTTTAAAATCAGCTTGTCAAATTATTTCCAATGCAAATGTGAAAATGGGCCAGGGAAAGGAGGTGGGATCGCTGATTATTTTACCTGTTCATCCTGGGTCTCTTTCTTGGGCTCCTTGGCCTTTGCTCCCCTCAGTCTTTTGCTTCCCTTTCACTTGGGAATGGGGCTGTGGTCAAAAGGGAGGGGTGTTTCCTTCTCTCTTCTTGGCTCCCAGCCCTTCCCTTCAGGGTTGAGGGGCGGAGAGAGGCCCTCACCTTATACTGGAGTGGTTATCCAGGGTTGCAGGCTTCCTTCTCTCCCCTCTCCCCCAAACTCTCCACCTTAATCTTGGCTTCCTGCCCCAGTGGGGTCATCACTCCCCTCTATGACAGCAGAATACCAAGGCCTGGCTTTACAGTGATGATTAAAACAAAAATCGCAACCAACCTACCTTAGTTCCAAGAGTGTCTTTCAGTCGTTACCCCTTCGCCGTGGTCGGAGAGATTGTGTCTCAGAACTTCTCCAAGGTGACTGGGAAGCCGGATGGGTGAGGGGCGTCTGTCCTGGAGTGGGATTACCACAGGGAAAGGTTGGATCGGCGCTTGAAAATGGAAGGGAGTCTCTGAAGACAAAGAGAAGGCATACAAGTGTGCATGGTGGAGAGGCCTGCAAGAGGGTGCAGGAGCAAGGTGGGGATGCCAAGGTGGCCCCCTCCTGGTTTACTGGGGGTCTAAGTGCTGAGGTGGGGTCTGGTCGTTACCTGTGGCCAGACACATCAGCCGGCTTCTTGGCAGGGGCTCACAGCTGTCCCTTTGGGAGAGAGTCAGCGGCCAACGAGTGGGAAGTACCCCTGGGATCTTGGTACTGGTAGAGTGTCTTAACAAGCTGGATGTGGGGAGGGAGGCACCAACGTTGAACAGAAGGCTATATGATTCCCTTAAATTATCCTTTCTGGTGCTTGGGTGAATGGGGTCCTCCCAGCTACTTGGGACTTGGCGGGGAGGTGGATGGCGGGGTCACAGCGCTATCTCCCCGCCTGGGGCGGTGGAGGCCGCCGCTCAGCCGGGCCCGTAGGGGGCACTAGAGGGCCATCGTGCGGGTTGGGCATGCGCAGTGCGTTTCCAGGCAAGGGGCGGGAACTCCGGAACCCGGAAGTGGAGGGACAGCGTGGGACCCGGAGAGGGAGTATCTGTGACTAGCCCCTTGGTCTCAGGGCAGTCCTCGGAGAGGCAGTCGGGGCTGGCTGTCCTTGTCTGAGGGGATGGAGTGAGGACAGCCGTCGGGTCCTCTTCACCCGACTGTGCGGGGCGACCGCTCTGACGGACACAGCAGGGAGCGTCGAGTTCCCCGCGCAGCCCGTGCTATGCGGCTGCTGTCGTCCGTCAAGGCCGCGACCCGCCGTTGCTCGGGGCGCCTGGTCGCCAGACTCGTCTCCCACGCTGCTGGGCGAGGGGTGCGGCCTGGCGGGGAGGAGCTCAGGCGCCTGCGGCTGGATGACTTGGCGCCGGCCCCGCAGCCAGAGCTGCTGTTTGGCCTGTCCCCGTGTGTCCTGGCTCTGCGAGCCGCCCGCCGCCGCGTGGCCCGGCTCTTGCTCCAGGCCGGGAGGGCTGGCCTGCAGGGGGAGCGGGCCGAGCTGCTCCGGGCGGCCGAGGCGCGGGGCATCCCAGTTGTGCGGCCCAGACGGCAGAAGCTGGACGCCCTGTGCCACTACCAGGTGCACCAAGGCGTCTGCATGGAGGTGACCCCTCTGCGGCCCCGACCGTACACCGAGGCCGGGGAGGCGAGCCCAGGCGATGACCCCCAGCAGTTGTGGCTCGTCCTCGAGGGGCTCCATGATCCCCGGAATCTTGGGGCTGTGCTACGTACCGCTCACTTCCTCGGAGTGGACAAAATCATCACCAGCCGCAGAAACAGGCAGGGGCATCCCTTATTCCCCACGTGGGCAGCTAGGAGGCACAACGGAGTTCCTAAGCACGTTGGCCCTTGGGTGATCCCTCAGCCAGGTGCCGAGCTCCTCACCCTTAAGCACTGGGAGCCCGGAGGTGGGTGGGGCGCGCGCTGGCGAGTGCCCAGCCTAAAGGGGGCATGGGGAATCTTTGCAGCTGCCCGCTCACTCCAGTAGTCAGCAAGGCCAGCGCGGGGGCTATGGAGGTGATGGACGTGTTCTCCACTGATGACCTGACCGGTTTGTTACAGGTAACGGGGGCGTAGGGGACAGGAGCAGAAAGAGCCTGTAGCCCAACCTCTTTAAGAGCGCTCAGTCAGCAACGGATGGGAGAAGAGGACAGACGAGGGGATGTTGACATTGATTCTTATGGCCTCCTAAATCCCGTTGAGAGGGGAAGGGTTCTGGAGTTTTTTTTGTTTGGAGTCAGGGTCTGGACATGTGGTTCACACTGGCCTTGAACTCACTATGTAGCCCAGGGTGACCTTGAACTTGCAGCAATCCTCCTGCCTCAGCCTCCCAAATGCTGGGATTACAGGCGTGTGCCACTACACCTGGCTGGAGTTTGTTTTTTTCCCCCTTTAACTACAAATGGGGTGCTATCTGAAGTTAGGGACTTGCTGGAGTCATTCTCTCTGCTATAGTCCTTCCCCGGGCAGTCCTCTGCCCCTTCTGTAAGTCTGTCTCCTTGTCTCATTGCCTGCTGAGTAGGTCTTCAGTGATGGTGCTTGTTCCCATCTGTGGGGAGCTGGTGGACAGGAGATCTGGGTTCCTCGAGTACGGAACATCTTGACAGGATCATTGAGCCAGACCTCTATGGCTTTTTTATTTTTTAAGAAGTATAAAGTTAACTGAGGAGACACGAAGGTGAGAATCTTTTTCTTTTAGTATATTTGCAGTACATGATAATTACAGTATCGTGAGGAGTTGGTACATGTACATAACACATCTGACTTCTTTTTGCTTCCCGCTCCCTTCCCCTCCTCCCTCCCTCCCTCCAAAACCTGTATGAGTTTGACATCTGGGAAAGGCAAACCCAGGAATCCCCTCTCCAGTCCCCATGGCTGTCTTCTGCTGTGTTTCCTTTGCTGGACACACGGGGGCAGTATTGCCACACTTGGCGGTCCCTCTGCTCCCCTCCCCCCAGGCTGGGCAAGGAGGGCCCCCCCTTATTCCCCTTGAAAAGAAGGGGAAGAGCCGGGCATGGTGGCACATGCCTGTAATCCCAGCACTCAGGAGGCTGAGGCAGGAGGATCGAGAAAAGAAGGGGAAGAATTCTGGGAGGGGTCTAGAACAATGCTGCCCAATACACATAATGCAGCCCACATATATAATTTTAGATTTTGTATCATAGCCTCGTTGAAAAGGAAAAACAGCTTGAAATTAATTTTGCTGTTTTACCTAGTACATCTCCAGTGTTATCATTTCTACATATATTGATTTAAGTTATTATTATTATTACTTCGTCTTTTGGAGACAGGGTTTCACTATGCAGTTTAGGATGTCCTTGAATTCACTTTCTAGCCCAGGCTGGCCTGGAGCTCACAGGGACCCTCCTGCCTCAGCCTCCCAAGTGTTGGGGTTACAGGCATGTGCCACCATGCCCAGCCTAAGCTATTATTATTAATGCAGTACTGGGGATTGATCCCAGAGCTTTTGCACTGAGCTACATCCCCAGTCTTTTTATTTATTTATTTATTTTTAATTTGAAACAAAGTCTTGGTGATTGCCCAGGCTGGGCTTGAATTTACAATTCTCCTGGCTCAGATCCCCCAAAGACCTGGGATTACAGGTGTGCTCCACCACTCCTGCCTCCTTTTAAATATTATTAATGAAATATTTTCCATCTCATTTAAAAATGTTTGCATTTACCACATCTGAATTGGTACTAACTGCATTTTAGTTGCTTAATAGTCACATGTAGCTAGTGGTTACTGTATTGAACAGCACATGTTTAAAGGTGTTTTGTAGCTGCACCTTCTCTTTGGGAGCCGAGGGACTGTGGCTAAGCATGTAGGAGATGGGGTTCCCTCGCCTCACTTCCGGCCCCTGAACAAGTAGCTCCTGAAAAAACAAAATCACTATACAGAGCACTTACCTAAGCTCCAGTCACTACATCTCCTCCCACCAGCTGCTGGGCCCCGAGGGTTGTCTTCCCTCCTGTTACTGTGGAAGAACTAGAGGGCCACATGTAGTTGGTGCACACCTGTAATCCTAGCTACTCAGGCTGAGGCAGGAGCATCTCAAGTTTGAGGCCAGCCTGGGTGCTTAGTGAGACCCTGTCTCAAAAATAAAATTTTAAAAAGGACTGGAGCCGTAGCTCAGTGGTTTAGTGCTTGCCTGGCATTCACAAGGACTTGGGTTTAATCTCCATTACTTGGCGGGTGGGGAACAACTACTGGAGGTGCACCAAGCAGAGGCCAGCCCTGGGCCTCATCCCTTCCGCCTACTCCAAGATGCTGCTCTGGGCATTTCCCCCTCCTCTGGGTGTTATCAGTTTCTCTCTTTGACTCGTCAGCATGCCAGTCAACATTTTCTACCCCTTCTCTTTCTCCCTTGACCTCTCACACCTGTCAACTCTTCACCCGACAGCTACATCAAAGCCCTTGACAAAGTCGCAAAGTCCATGTTGCTCTATGCAAGGGTCAGTCCGCAGTCCTTATCTGCAGCACCTGGCACAGGAGATCACACCCTCCGCCCTGAGAAACTTTGACCCGGGTTTTGTCTTTCACCATGTGGGGAATCCAACCCAAGGCCTCCTCCAACAAGTCAGGCGAAGGTTCTACTGCTGAGTCACGCTCCAGCCTACTGGTCACCTGGTTTTCCTCCTGCCTTGTTGTGCACTCTCAGAATCATCTTTGCTGATTGTCCTCACCCTCCGCTGCTAGACATCAGCACGTCCTAGGTCTCCTGGCTTTCAATACTTGTATTCCAGTGCCTCTGAAGTGGACCTCCTAGCCTAGATGTCTGGTTGCCTCCTCAGCAGCACTTTCTGTCTCGAGGGCATTTCACACATTTCCAAACTGCTCCTTCCTACCAGGGACAGGACGCTTACCCAGCCCGATGGATGGCAGCTCCCTCCTGTTGGCGATGAGCCAGGAGCCGTGGCTTTCTCCTTGACTTCCCGTTCTCACCCCCACGTCCCCATCCCCAAACCTGTCAGCTTTCCCTCGGAGTGCTTCCCCTGCTCTCTGCATTTCTTACCGTCGGCCTGCTGCCGCCCTTGTCCAGCCGCCGGCACCTCTTGACCGACTGTGGAAACCTCCTCATTGGTCTTGCATTGCACTAGGCTCTCAGCACAGCAGGCAGAGATTCTGTGTTGCTTCTGTGCGCGAACCTTTCAAAGCATTTTCCCTGCTCAGAGTAAAGGGAGGAGCCCTTCCAGTGCCCCATGAGGCCCTGCCTCTGTGATGCCGAATCTGTGGCATGTGTGGTGCTGTGGGCGCACAGCCTTCCTGGCATGTGAGCCGAGTCACCGTGCTTTTTCTAAACTAAAACCTCCGTGTTCAGGCTCACTTGCAGGGTTGGCACTTTGTGATAGATAAGGGTCTGGGGCTGCAGTTTAGAGAGCTTTTTTTTTTTTTTTTTTGGCTTTGGTTTTTTTCCGGTACCAGGAATCAAACTCATGACCTTGTGTTTGCCAGGCAGGCGCTGTGCCACTGAGCTAACTCCCCAGGCCCCTGGGGCTGCAGTTTGGGCACGTGGTCTCTAAAAGGTTTGCCATCACCGTCCTACTTTATGTGGCCATTGTTCCATCTACCTTGCTTTTCCTCAGACATGCAAGGTAAGTGAGGCCTGTGTACTTGAAGAGCTCTGCCTGGCCTATTCTTCCCCCATATGTCTGCGTGATGCTTTTTGATTGTCTTCAGGCCTGTACTCAGATGTTACCTCAAGGAGACCTTTCCTAGACACTTTCACAAGGCTGAGATTTTGATCTTTTTTTTTTTTCCTGGTAATGGAGATTGAACCCAGCCATGCTACATCCCCAGCCTTTTTTTTTTTTTTTTTTTAATTTTTAGACAGGGTCTTACTCTGTTTCCTTGGCTGGCCTTGAACTTGCAATCCTCTGACTCATTCTGCAGAGTGGCCGGGATGACGTGTGCACCACTGTGCCTCACATAGTCTGTGTTGTTTGTTCATGGCCCAATCCCCAGTTTTGGAGCCAGGCCTGGCAGGGTTGAAGGGTTTAATAACTGTTGACTCCCTTGAATGGATCTGAGTGATTCCAAGTCTGGGCTCCTCCTCGGCCAGGGCCCTGGTAATGATGTGGTGAGCTACAGCTTGGTGTCTTCTTCCCTCTTTAGGCCAAAGCCAGGCAGGGCTGGCTGGTAGCTGGCACGGTGGGCAGTCTGGCGCCTGAGACCTCCCAGTCCTCAGAGGTCCCCGTCACTAGTTGCTTAGAGTTCCTCTGGGACCGGCCTACTCTCCTCCTGCTGGGTAGGTAGCTGTCCCTGCTTTTCTGTGCCCCAATATACATTTCTTGAGCACGTAGGAATCCAGCAGGGCTTCCTAACCTCCGTGTGTGCTCTGCAGGGAATGAGGGCTCTGGTCTGTCCCAGGAGGTGCAGGCCTGCTGCCAGCTTCTCCTCACCATCCTGCCTGGGCGCCAGCTCCCTCCTGGGCTTGAGTCTTTGAATGTGTCTGTGGCTGCAGGTGAGTCTCTTCCCCTTCCTTCTCTCATCACACAGATGCAGCTTCCTTCTCTTCCCGGTTTTCTGCCTTATTCACCCTAACCAAGCTACTCAGTCTTGCTATGTATCAGTTGCTTTATGTACAACTTGGGGAAAACTCTTCCTTTTGAGGATGAAATGAGGCAGGTACCTAGCAGGTGTCAAAGCCTTCATACATGGTCCTTCCTCTCTGCCTGCCCTCTCTGTCTCTCCTTTGTCCTTCTGTCTTTGCAGGAATTCTTCTTCACTCCATCTGCAGCCAGAGGAAGGGTTTCCCTGCAGGGGAGGAAAGAGGGCAACTTCTCCAGGACCCTCCAGCTACGTCTCAAGGACTCACAGTGGCTCAGCATCCAGGACTGTCTTCAGGATCAGGAAAAGAGAGGCACAGCGGGGGCGGAGGGGCCCTCTGAGATGTGGGCGTGCCAGAGCCGAGATGGCTGCAGCTCCCCCGTGTGCTGGAGTCTGCCTACATGTGCACCTAAGCCCTTGCTTATTGACCACAGGGAGCTGTGGGACAGGAGCGGCCTTCGAAATAACGACCAGAGGAAGTTCAGTCTCCCGTTGGAACTTTTGCTGTTGGACTTCCAGTTGGAGGTGGTAGTTGGCTAATTTCCAGGCTGGGCAAGGGTGGGTGAGGTCTGTCTTCCTGGGTCCTGCCTGGGAGCCAAAGGAAGTGTGCTTCAGGAGGGCCCAGGCAGCCCAATCCAGGGGTCCGATTCCTCTAGAACCAGGTCTTGCCTGTGGTGCACGTGAGTGTGAGAAGGCAGAGGGAGGCCCTCTGTGGCCCCTAAGTGCGTATGTTCATCTTCAGGTGCCTGGGAGCCCTGGGCCGCACCTGCCTCTTAGGGTTGTTGTGAGGATGAAATAAAACCATCTGGCGTCCTGTGGCCACTCAACAAACAGGGTTGTGTGTCTGCTTCCTCCAGAAGGTGGCAGTCTTGCTCTTCGGTCCACAGTTTAGTGGCCAGTTTTACAGCCAGCTGGGGGACTTCTGGCTGCTGCCCCACCAGACAGGGAGAATTAGCAAATACCCCACCTCACTGCGACCCCTGCCCTCTACCCCTACCCTCAGTGACCCAGCAGTTAATCTGTCTCAGTGGAAGGAAGCAGTGAACCAAAGCCCTCACCTCTGAGCCTGCGTGGTGGTGAGAACAGGGTCATTGTTTATTGTACAAACCAGACCGACATGGTGTTCCTCCGTCAGAGTCCCACGGTGGGGCAGAAAAGTGCAGAGTGGTGGTTCTGGTCTTGGCTGCACCGTGGGACCACCTGGCTGGCCTCGAAACAGATAACACTGCCACAGCGGCTGACGCAATGGGTCTGGGCGCAACTTAGGCACAAAGACTTTTTCATTCATTCATTCATTTAGGCTAAGTTGCCCAGGCTAGTCTTAAAGATGGGATCCTCCTGCCTCAGCCCCTTGAGGACCACTGTCCCCAGTTCAACCAACAGGATTTTTTAAACTCCTAGAAAGGATTTAATGTGAAAATTGGCAGAGCAGTGTTTCTCAGCCTTGGAACGACTGATATTGGAGCCAGATAATTCTTGACAGAGAGAATTGCCCTGAGCGTGGTAGGATATTTAGCAGCCTCCCTGGCTTCTACCCACTAGATACTGGCGGCTCTGCTGCGCTCTCCAACTGTGAAACCACAACGGTCTCCAGACATTGCCATGTCATCCCCGATGGACAACCACTGACCTGGAGTGGGGTTGGGAGGACAGCAACTCCTGCCCTGTGGTCCTGAGCACTGGGTGACCTGGGATGAGTTCCCCACACACCTGAGCCTCGGCTCCATCCTGGACCAAGCGGGAAGAAACCTACCTTCCTGGATTCCTGGGAGGAACAACAGGAACTTGATGTTTTGTATGCAGTAGGTGCTCAACAAATAGTACCCCCTTTCCAGTGGAATCCATCTCAGGTGGATTTATTTTGGAATTCTAGTTTCAATGCCAATTTAAGACAAAATGGATTTGGATTTGTTTAAAAGGGACCAAAGATCACTTTAAAGTCAGTTTCCCTCTCCAGAATGTGGACAAAGCCCTTCCTAGACTCCACTGTTTCTCACCAGCATGTGTCCCTTTGAACTCTGTCCCTCGCCCACATGCAGTGTCTGAACTCTGCTGGTATCAGCATCTCCCCCTCCCACTGCGCCCTTGGCCGGGAGCCTAATGTAATTTTTAACTGTGGCTGTACCTTGGAGCCATGGGAACAGGGATGGGTTAAGTTTTTAGTATTCCAAAAGTCCAGAGACACCAGACTCATTAACTAATAATCTCTGGGGAAGGAGCCAGGCATCGCTATTTCCAGAAGCTCCCCCACTTCATACTGTGCGGCCAGGTTCAAGAGTCACTGGCTCTTGAGCCACATTCACACCTGTGCTTTTCAGCTCATGCCTGAGCATGTGGGCCTGCGTGATCTCCCATCTGAGCCAAAAGGCCTTTGAAAGATGCAGGTTCTGGGCCTGGCTCTATGCCTGCCTACCTAAATGGCTTCTTAGCCTCCTCACCTGTAAAGCAAGGACAGTACCATTAATGCCGGTTCTGTCCACCCCATTCCCAACAGGGAAGCTATAAAAACAAAACAAGAGCTGCTCAGTTAAAAATGTTCTGTTGGGTTGGGGATGTAGCTCAGTGGTAGAGTACTTGCCTAGCATATGCCCCGGGTTTGGTCCTTAGAACCGCAGAAACCAACCAGCCAACCTGTAAACTAAAGCACCGTGCACCCTAAGATGAGCACATATTAACGCAAACCTGGATGTTAAGATTAATTTTGTGTCAACTTGTCTGGCTCACAGGGCATCCGCATATTCGGTCAAACATCATTCTGGGTGTTTGTATGAGGCTGTTTGTGTTAAATCAGTAGTCAGCAGAGCAGAGTGCCTTTCCTGTGTGAGCGGGCCACCTCTAATCAGCTGAAGGCTTGAATAAAACAAAAGGTCAGAATGCAAGGCCAGCCTGAACTACATAAGGAGACTGTCTCAAAAATAAATAATAAATAAATAATAGGCAACCATCCCCCAGGTGAGAGAATCCTTCCTGCCTCCAGCTCAGCTGGACACGGTCTTCTCCTGGTTCTTCAGCCTGCTGCCCTTTGCACGCGAACTGTGCCACAGACTCTCCTGCTTCCGGCCCTCAGCCTCAGGTTGGAACCACATCCTCACTCTCCTGGGTCTCCAGCTTGTGGACTCACCCTACAGATCTTTGGACTTCCCTGCCTCCGTAACTGCATGAGCCAGTTCTTTATATTAAATCTCTCTCACATACTCCACATGCCCCTGTTTGCTCCAGCCCCCGTACACTTGATGAAAATAAATGCAGGTACCCACTGCTTGCTCCCAGTGGGCACAGAATTGAACTCTGCCCCCTAGACCAAACGGAACATGGAGCCTAGAAGCATGTTGGGATAAGGCAGAGGGGGAGGAGAGCGGCAGGTAAGAGCAGGACCCCCTGCTGTGGAATGGTGCTTGCTTTGAACTCCAGCTCTAACTTGCTAGGAGTGTAAATATGGACAAGCTCCTTAGAGTCCAAGTCTCAGTTTTTATGCATCTATAAAATGGGAATAACAGCGGTGTCCACTTCAAAAGATTGTGGTCCGGATTGAAAAGGGTCATGCTCAGAAGCCCCTCCGCCTCATGCCGGGAGGAGGATGGTTAACAGTTCCTCACGTTGCCTGAGGGCAGGCACTGGGTGGCGCTCTTCTTCCAGGCTGGCCTCAGTTTCCCCACAGGTTCTAGTGCCCCTCTCCACTGCAGCTCAAGGTGGTTTACTCTGAGACTGCGGGAGAGACTACGGGTGGGGAGGGAGTTGAAAGGACATTTGTAGGGCTCCTTTTTGTCACACATTCCTTTTACTCCTACCTGCATCCTGGCTGAGAAAAGAAGGGTTTCAGAAAGATTTGCGGTTGATTTGGTATTCTCAGAGCAGCTGAAAGGAGCCCAGACCCCCTCCACCAGGGAGGAAAGCTTTTTTTGGCAGGAGGCTAAATTGTCAAATCTCCCTCCCCCCAGTGTGGGTCCTAAACTAGGTGCCCCCACTCAGCTCCTGCAGGGCCAGGCGCTGGGGATCCCCACAGTTTGTAAATGTAATCAACCTCGAGGTCTCTCACTTCCACAGGTGCAATTAGCATGCCCATCTGCTAATCCCTGATTAACGATGTTTACAAACATGGGACTCCGCTTGCTGTGGAGCTGCGCAGTCCCTCCTTCCTCAGTCAGAAGGCAAGGGTCTTTCAGAAACAGCTCCCCACTTCTTCAGGCCTCCCCAGCCCAAAGCTTTTCCTCTCCGTCCTGGGAAGCTGGCAGAGCCGGAGATCCCCCCCTCGCCCTCTTTGGAACCTTGCCCAGTTCCCTTTGCCCACACATGGAAAAGAGACAGAGCAGACAAAGACGCTTCCAGGGTTGGGGCTGGGGCTGGGATCCTACTCATCCTCCTTTCTTCAGTTCTGGAACCTCAAGGACACACGAGGACGTGCTGCCCTTAGTCACCACCCCAGGTTCCGGCGGGGCCCAGGTGGACTTGCCTCTCTGCGTGGAGTCACAGTGGGCGCGTGTCAGGGGCACAGTACCAAAACAGTGGAGAACACAGACTGCTGAGCCAGACAGGGCCAGGCCCCAGGTGTGGCTCTCCCTTTAGGTACTGTACAGTGCTTAACTTGATTGAGCCTTGGTTTCATCATCTATAAAATGGAGATAGAAGGAATAATACCATATAGGTTTAAGGTTCATAGGTAAGGATCAATAATAAGATAATGCAAAAGACAGCACAGTGCCTGGGACACAGTATGTGCTCAATAAATGTGAGCTGTTTACTGCAATGGAAATAATAATGATCACGAAAGGAGGCTTCTAAAGCTAGAGAGATGCTCAAGGACTTCTCCCCTCACCCCCTCCCTGGGGAGAGGGGCAAGTCCCAGCTCATTACTGGTGGGGGCTGGGGTGGAGGTGTCAGATTGGAATCACTCCTGGGTGTGTTCACAGCTTCCCTGTTTCATTAACACCTCCCTGGTGGTCTCTGGCTCCTCCTGCTGGGAGAGGCCTCCAGAAAGTTCTGCCCCTCACTGCTGTGCTCCAGATGTGCACAGAGGGGGTTTTATGCTGGGAAGAGATGGCAGCCACTGACCAGAATGCTGTCATTGTCCCCTTCTCCCAAAGGTCCTGGCCGTGTGGTCAGGGGACCTGGTATCTGGGCAGCCCATCCTTTACCCCTTCCCATCCATGTGTAACCCATAGTTCCCGTCTCATGTGCCCACCGCACCTCAACCCTGCCGCGCCTCCTCTTCCTGCCTCCGGAGTTCTGGAGTTCTGTAGGATTTGGGATGAACACGGCCCCTCCCAGCCCCCACCCACCTCTTCCTGGCTGGGTGAACTTGAACAAGTTGCTTATCCTCTGCCTTTTCTATGAAACGAGGATACTGTGCCTTGCAGGGAATTAGCCTAGTGCCCCTAAACCATAAACTCTCATGAATTGGTATCACTGGTTGGTGGTTTTTAAATTTTTTTTTTAAATTTTAACCAGGGGCAAAGCTGCTTTTAGAATTATCTTTTTAAAGCTGACCTTGTATAGCAGGCTAGGGTTTCTCCACCTTGGAAGGAGGAGGCCCAGTTGCTGAATTAGGACCAGGAGATTTATACCCGAGCTTCTGCAGTGGCTGCCTAAACAAGGCTCCTTCCGACTGAGCCCCGAGGACTTTTAAAGAAATCTTATCCTTTGCCGCTGCCTGATGTCTGCTTGGTCGCACAGGATGCCACCAGTTTCGTGGGCTGGAAGGAGGGGCTGGCCTGGGCTTTCTCTGGACACCTCTGCAGCTGTCTCCGGCCCTCTGGCTCCTAGTCATGACAAGAGGTACCCTGTGTGGTTTGCCTACAATCCCCAAATGTCCATCTTTCCCTCAGAAAGCAGAA